ACAAATTAACTTTTAAAGGTAAAAGGTAAAGGCCCTCCCGTTGATCGTCGATTTGCTCGAGCGGGCCCAGTAACGTCTCCATTGGAGACTTTGTTGTTACTGTGTTTGGCATATCGAATACTCTCAGTAGCTTGCCGGGCTCTCCGAGAGGGGCGGAGGAATCGAACTCGGGTCGGCCATGTTGGCCGCTTGTAAGGCGAATGCCCTACCGCTGTGCTATCGCTCCATTAACTTTTAGACAAATATATTTTCTCATCCTTTCTGGGGCAATGGATGTCTTCAGGAAGTGTGGAGATGGAAACACATGTTCTGTATATGCTCACTAGCCCTTGCTCTATCGCCCTTGCCCCATGGGGCCATGCTTTGCATGTGGGCCCTGGATCAGATCTCCAGCACCATGTGGGACTCTGAGCACAGCCAGGAGTGGCCTAGAACCAGGTTGAGTAGCCCCTGAGCACTCCCAGATGTGGCCTCCCAAACTGAAAATTCAATTAACAAAATGAAAAAACTGAACTGAAGGGGCTGGAGTGATAGCACAGCGGGTAGGGCGTTTGCCTTGCACGCAGCCGACCTGAGTTCAATTCGATTCCCAGCATCCCATATGGTCCCCTGAGCACCGCCAGGAGTAATTCCTGAGTGCAGAGCCAGGAATAACCCCTGTGCATTGCCGGGTGTGACCCAAAAAGCAAAAAAAAAAAAAAAAAAAAAAACTGAACTGAAGCAATAGTACAGAGAGTAAGGTGCTTGCCTTGCATGCAGTCAACCTGGATTAGATCCTGGCACACCATATGGTCCCTGGAGCACCGACAGGGGTGATTCCTGAGTACAGAGCCAGGAGTAACCACTGAACATTTCCAGGTGTGCCCTCCTGCAAAAAAAAAAAATCTTGTAACTTTGAACACCACAAGCATAAACATGAACACTGTTGCATGTTATAATAATAATAAAATAGAAATTTGAAAATCCCTAATAATATCCAACAGGGCTGGAGTGATAGCACAGTAGTAAGGCGTTTGCCTTGCGCGCATCTGGCCCGGCCGAGGTGGATTCGATTCTTCTGCCCCTCTCGGAGAGCCCGGCAAGCTACCGAGAGTATCTCGCCCACGCGGCAAAGCCTGGCAAGCTACCCGTGACGTATTCAATATGCCAAACACAGTAACAACAAGTCTCATGATGGAGACGTTACTGGGCCCGCTTGAGCAACTTGATGAACAACGGGAGGACTGTGACCGTGACCGTGAATAATATCCAACAATATAACATAAGGATCACACCCAGCCCACACAGGCAGCTTCTCCTTTATTCTGTTGGGAGTAAGTGGCTCCTCTGCAAGCCTCCTCCCTCTAGCACCGAGAGGTCCTAGTAACTGTACCCCAAGAAGCAGCAGCAGAATTCAGACCCATGGGTGTACAATGTCACTGAGGTCAGGGATGAAGTTTCCTGTTCACTCTGCTACGTGTGGGGTGACAGTTTCCAGGAGGATGGGGCGGGAGAGCGATGGAACAAAAGTGATCGGGTGTTGGCGTGCGCTGTGGGGTCTCGGCCCTTCGTTGTCCCCCAAGGTTGGCGGGGAAACCGCTGTCCTGCCAGGAAGGGCCTTGAGGATGTTTACAGTCATGGAGAACCTCCAAGATGCTTCCTGGAAAGCGCACACAGGATTTCAGGAGCCTTATGCTGCGCATGGGTCAGACATTCTCTGCCCTGTTCTAGGGCTGGTACGATTCCCACTTGACAGGAGGGGAAATCTAGTAACAGGGTTAGGTGACTGCCAGAATCACATAGCAGAGAGTACAAAGCTGGATTTGTTTTCCTTTTTCCTTTTGCTGTCTGGGGATCAATTCAGGGTCTCACACATGTAGAGCAAGTATGCTACCATGTTGGGCCAGATCCCTGCACCTATGATTGGAATTGTTAAATCAATCGGGGAGGAGTTGGGTTTTGAGGCTACAACCAGAGGTGCTCAGGAGCTATTTCTTTTTTGTTTTGTTTTTGGGCCACACCGGTGGTCTCAGGGCTTACTCCTAGTTCTAAGCTCAGGGGTCACTCTTGGCTGACCTTGGAGGACCATATGGCATGTGTCCTATTGCTCTGGCCTCTCAGGGACTACTCCTGACTCTACTAAATAGTGACTCCTAGCAGTGCTGGAGGACCATATGTGATGCCAGGGATCAAACTGGGCTCTGCCACATGCCTTAAATCCCGTACTATGTCTTCAGCCTCTTAATTTGGACCATATCTGATGGTGTCTGAAGCTCTGGCACAGAGCATTAAACCCAATTCTCCCACAGGCAAAGCCTGCATTCAGCCCTTCTAGTCAGTTCCCAGACTCGAGTTGGGATTTTAACTCTTAGCAGTTACTCCAGTGCAGGGCATCATTGATGGCCTGACCCAAGGCTGACCACCCCCACTTACATCTGCTAAATTTAGAACTCAGCAGAGCCCCGGCTGCAGGAGGACCCCCTACTCTGCTTGGTTGTGCAGGGTGGCAGCGGTATTTAGGGTCTCTCACTCACTGAACTCAGAGGGGAGCTGAGTGCTGAGGGTTCTCTACTCCCCACATGGAGTAAAGCATTCAAGTGACCTTAGGGACCCAGAGCTCTGGAGCCAGACGGCCTGTTCCAGCCTTGTGCTCTGGACAAGCCACCTTCCCTTTCTGCTTCTTCATCTGCAAAAGGGGGTTTGTGGAGGGCTGGTGGGTTGAGCCCACCTGGTGTGCCCAAGGCCTGTGTTCCATTCCCAGCACCCAACACAAACCCCCAAATAGATCCAGGAGGAGCCTCCAAGCATGGCTGGTCGTGGCACCCAAACCAAAAATGGGAGTTATTGATTAATGATTGCCCCTCAGTCAGTCACAGGATTGTCGGAGGAGTGACTAATCCTGGACTATAGAACAGCCAAATGACAGTCATCATCACCTTTCTCATTGGAGGGACAATTTGCAGGGACTTGGGGGCTAATCCTTTGCTCTAACTTCAGATCCTGACCTAGATTGAAGGGGTCTCAAACCACCCCCTGGAGTTCCAGAGCTGTAGAGACTGGACCAGGGAAGGTCTCCTAAGGCCTGAGGGAGCCACACTGTCATCTATTCCTGCAGGCCGGTGGCCTCTGGGTGCATCTGGACCGTTTGTTAGAGGTTCCTAGAGTAGGGTGTGGGGAGGTGTCCGCAGGCAGACCCCCTGTGGGAGGCACCAAGCGTCCCTCTTTCCCCTCTCCCTTCAGATCGGACACCTCTGCAGAAGCCAAAGCAGAAGGCCCAAGGGCCCAGAGACGGGGGTGTAGGGGCCAAAGGACAGAGCTGCGCGACTTCCCGGTCCACCTCCCTCTTGACATCCCGTGTGGGGCCTCAAGACCCTGCAGTCGGCGCAGTGTGCAGGTCCCGGGATCCCACCAGCGGCCCAGCTTAGCGGGCCCTTGCAGGCTTCTAGACCCGCTCTTGGCCTTTGCTGCTTCCTCCCCCAGAAAGTCCCCCGCACTCAGAAATCACGTCCTGCAAAGCCTAGCAAAGGACTTCCTCCTGCGGTCGCCTCCCGGGGTCCCGATCCCTCCACCCTGCGCCCCCCCGGAGCGCGGACCCCAGCTTCCGCTTCCTCTGCCCGCAGCTTCAGCCCGCCCCTCCCGCCCCTCCTAGCGGGCTGCGCACGCTTCGCCCGCGCCCCCTGCTGGCCATGTGCAGGTCGCAGCGCAGTGGTCACTGCTTGGGGCCGGGCTCTGTTACCAGCTCTCATGCCGTGCTCAGGCGAGTGTCCCAGAGGTCCAGACGATCAAACCGCTCGGAAGAGAGCGGGAAGAGTCAGAATGGTCTTTTTGTTTGGGGGGAGGGGCGCACCTGGTTGTCCTCAGGTTTATTTCTGGCTCTGCCCTCGGGGATCACTCCTGGCGGTGCTGGGGTACCATAGAGGTGCAGGGGATTGAACCAGGGGCGGCTGCGTGCAAGACCAGCTCCCTCCCCGCTGGACTATCACTCCCGGGCCATTCTCTGATGCTCCTGTTCTCCCTTTATTGCACGTGTTGTGCTCTCCATATCTACTCCGACCTCCCCCACCCTGGCCCCCGCCCCCCAGGCCCACCTTGGCCACTTAACTACCTTCCGGGAGAGCCTGGTTCGTTGGGGTCCGAAGCTCCTACAGTGTAGGGGCCACGGTCTTACACTTCCTAAAGGAGGAGGGAGTCTGGGGTGGCGGAGGGCGGGTTCGGAAGCTGGGGTGGAAGAGTGTAGGCTCAAGGCCTGCAGAGCCTGCGAGAGCCCTGGCTGGAGGCCCAGCATCGCACAGTCCTGCTAGGCAGGCCGCAGGACAATGGTCCTATCCTGCACTACTGAAGAGCCGGGGCTCAGCGGGGAGGGCGTTGTTTGGCTCCGAAGCTCTGCCCATCACAGACGGAGTTACCACAGCAGCTACCACAGCTCAGGGCACCAGCGATGAGAGGGCAGGGGCTGGGCAGGAGGGACCTGGGGACCCGCCAGGACTCTTGGGCTTCATCCTGGAGAGCTGTGCCTGGGCTGGGTCTCACATTCTTAGTTGGGGCACACACGTTATTGAACCAGTCATTGAAACGAAATCCTTAAAATGTATGATTTCTGGGGCTGAAGCGACAGTCCAGTGGGTGGGGCCCTTGCCTTACATAAGGCCTTCTCAGGTTTGCTTTCTGAGCACAGAGCCAGGAGTAAGCCCTGAGCACCAGGTGATGGTTATTAAAATAAATAGAAGAAAAATATCAGAAAATAATGACATTGTTTTGTGGAAAATAAATTTTAAAAAATGAGAGTCAAAGAGATAGTACAGTGGCTAACTCTCTTGTCTTGCATGCAGTCAGCCTGGGTTCTATCCCTGTCATCCCATATGGTCCCCCAAGTCCACCTGGAGTGATCATGGGTGCAGAGCCAGGAGTCACTCCTGAGCATCTCAGAGCCAGGAGTAGCCCCTGAGCATTGCCAGATGTTGCCCCCAAACAAAATAAATCAAGAACACAAAACAAAACCCCAAAATGTCACCCATTCTATTACCCTTTTAAAAGCACTCTGTGGGCTTTTCACTGCCAGCCACTGAGCCACCAAGAAAGGGCCAAGTTCAGACATCGCTTCTGGGTGAAGTCACAGTGTTGTATGTGTTCGGCTTCAATCAATAGTGTAATAATAAAAAAAAAATGTGACCCACATCTTGTGGTACTCAGGGCTTAAGCCTAGTTGTGTGGTCAGGGATCACTCCTGGTAGGTTCAAGGGACCATATGGGGTGCCAGGAATCAAACCCTGGTTGGCCTGTTATGTCACTGTCACTGTCACTGTCTTCCCGTTGTTCATTGATTTGCCCAGTAACATCTCCATTGTGAGACTTGTTGTTACTGTGTTTGGCATATCCAATATATCATGGGTAGCTTGCCAGGCTTTGCCGTGCGGGCAAGATACTCTCAGTAGCTTTCCAGGCTCTCTGAGAGGGGCAGAGGAATCGAACTCGGGTCGACCATGTTGGCCACTTACAAGGCAAACGCCCTACCCGCTGTGCTATCGCCCCAGCCAAAATTATTTTGTAGTATTTGTTAAAGCTATTGTTATGATCCTCTAAAATATCACTTGATTAAGGGCAGCAGCATCCTCATAACTGAAAGTCTAAGAAGACAGAATCTAGATGTTGTTGGGAACCACCACATGGTACTGATGTGGGATTCACTGCAAAAATCTGTGCTGATGAGACAAGGAGGAAGTGCTCGACCGGAACTGTGTAGAGGGTCATCTGCTCCCTGTGAACTGGATCTTGCTCTCCCTTTTGATGGAATGTATCTTGTTCTTCTTACAGCTCATTAGGATGTGAGAAAGTTGCTTTGTTTTTGACATAAACATAATTACAAATTGTCATTAATCTTGCAGGATTTTAATTGACACTTTGGAATGCAGTTTTGGATAATACATGAAGCTTCAGTTTTTAATTTTTAATTTTTTGTTATTGAATCACCATGAGATAGACCTTTAGAAAGCTGTTTATGATTGGGTTTCAATTATACAGTGATCCAACACTTCTCCATCAGTGTACACTTCCCATCACCAATGTCCCCTATTTCCCTCCCACCATTCCTCCTCCCCCCCACACACCCGAATGCCTCTATGACAGGCACTTTTCTTCTTTCTCTCTCTTCTTTTGTGCATTATGGTTTGCAGTACAAATACCAAGAGGTCATCGTATTTGTTAAGGGAGTTCAGGATTTTTACTGGAAAGGTAAGGCTGGAGTAGCTTTTTTAACTGGGTGGCAGTTTTTGGGTGTGGACATGACTGCACAGAAGCACATGGAGTTGGGGGGAGGTAGCCCACCTCAACTCTGAGAGGAGCCTGGAGATTTCAGTCACAAAACCTGCATACCCGAATTTTCAGTAGATTAATATCTTGGTGAGATCTGTCTGAGATGGTGGAATTTGGCCGCAGGCATGGCAGTGATTTGGTTTGTGAAAGCAAGGCTGCCGGGGGCTTTGTTTGGGCGGGCATTAGGCTAACCTGTCCCCTCTGATGTGCCCCAGATTATTCAGAGAGGGTCTGAGATTTACTGCGGCTTTTGATCTCTTTCGAGATTCATTTATGGGTCTCTGGAGAATGGATGGTGGAAGAGCTTACATGGTAGTTCTGGAGTTGGTTCATGGGGGTGACATCCAGGGCCTCTGGGAGTACAGGGAAATGAGCAGAGGTCTCCCATCCCAACTCTGAGAAAGCCTGGAGATTTCACTCACAATATCCACTTACCAGGGGGTGTGGTGCTGCCAGCAGGCCAGCCTGTACCTGCGGGGCGAGTGCATCAGCAACCTGATGGTGTTTTCAGGCTTCCTGATACCCCAAAACTGCTGTTGTGCCTCTCGCTGGACCTCAACAATTTAGGACCAAGTTTTCCAAGAAATTAAATGACCAAAAGTTAGGTATGTGGAAGTCCTGCCTACAAATCACCTATGGCTCAGCTATATAAGCTCATTTATCGGTTTAGGGGTTTCATGTTTCAGAACCCCCTAAACAAATCTCAAAAGAGATCACGAGTCACAGTTAATCTCGGACTTGAGCAAAGCTGAACAGATGGGGGTAAATTGGAGAAGGGTGGGTCAGCTGGGTGCCCACCCAAACAGAACTCCCCGCAGCTGTTTTCTTTTTTTTATTAGTGAGACACCATGTGGTACAGTTGTAGACTTACAATTTTTTTTTCTTTTTGGGTCACACCTGGCAATGCATAGGGTTTACTCCTGGCTCTGCACTCAGGAGTTACTCCTGGCAGTGCTCAGGGGACCATATGGGATGCTGGGAGTCGAACCCGGGTCGACCGCGTGCAAGGCAAACGCCCTACCCACTGTGCTATCTCTCCAGCCCCGTGTTTTCTCCCATAATTCAGAATCGCTGCCATGCCCCCAGTTGGGCTCCACCATCTCAGTAAGGACCTCACTGAGATATTAATCTATTGAAAATTTGGTGTGTGGGTCTTATGACTGACATCTCCAGGATTCTCTTGGGTTGAGATGAGCTACCTCCCCGCATCTCCCTGTACTTCCAGAAGTCTTAGCAATCAGGTTTACACCCCAAAGCTGCCACCCAGTTAAAAAAGCTACTCCAGCCTCACCTTTCCAATAAAAATACTGAATGCCCTGAACAAACACAATGATCTGTTAGTACCTGTATTGCAAATTATAATGCACAGAGAGAGAGAAAGAAGAAAAGTGCATGCCATAGAGGCAGACTGGGGGCAGGGGTTGTTGGGATGATGGGAGGGAAAAAGGGTACATTGGTGGTGGGAAATGTACATTGGTGGAGGGATGGGCGTTGGATCATTGTATGACTGAAACTCAATCATGAACAGCTTTGTAATGGTCTATCTCACGGATATTCAGTTTTTTTTTTTGCTTTTTGGGGTCACACCCGGCAGTGTACAGGGGTCACTCCCGGTTCATGCACTCAGGAATTACTCCTGGCCGTGATCAGGGGGCCATATGGGATGCTGGGAATCAAACCCAGGTCAGCTGCGTGCAAGGCAAATGCCCTATCCCCTGTGCTATCACTCCAGCCCTCACAATTAAAACTTTTGAAAAATAAAAACAAATCCACATACCAGAGTTTTTTCAGTAGGTTAATTTCTTGGTGAGGTCCTTCCTGAGATGGATGCAGCTGGGGACATGATGGCAATTTTGGATTGTGGGCGCATGTAGCTGCTGGGGGCTCTGTTAGGGCAGGCGCTGAGCTAACCTGCTCCGTTCCAATGTGCCCTGGCTTCAGTGAGAGATTTTCTGTAGCTTTAAGTCTCTTTTGAGGTTTATTTATGGGCCTCTAAAACAAGGTTAGTGGAGGAGCTTACTTGGTAGCAATGTTGGTTCGTGGGGGTGACTGCCAGGGTTTCTAGGAGGATAGGGAGGTGGGGGGGAGGTAGTTTATTACAACTCCAATAAAGCCTGCAGATTTCAGTCACAAAACCCACATACCCGAATTTTCAGCAAATTAATTTCTCGCTGAGGTATGTCTTGAGATGGTGGGGTCCAGCTGGAGACATGGCAGTGATTTTGGATTGCGGAAGTAAGCAGCTACTGGGTGCTCTGTTTAGGTGAACACTGGGCTAACCCTCACCCCCCGCCATGTGCCCAGCTTATTCAGCCATGCAAGGGTCCAAGAATATGTACTGTATCTTTTTTATGTTTTAAAATTTTTTGAGAAAAAATTTATGACTCTCTGATGTAAGGCTGATAAATGAGCTTGTATGGTGGAGTTCAAGGTGGTTTGTGGGTATAGCTCCCATGTACCTAAATTTTGGTGGTTTAATTTCTCTAAACACTTGGTCCCGTATTGTTAGAGTCTGGCCAGAGGTACAGCAGAGACTTGGGTGTCTGGAAGCCGAGCACACCATAAGGCTGCCGATACTCTTGCCCATTGGGTCCTGGTGAACCCCTGGCAGCACAGCACCCTCTGGGCCCCAGCAGTGATGGCAGCAGTGGCCCTGGCAGGGACGAGGACCAGGGCCAGGCGGATATTGTGCCCAACGCAAGTGCTTGGGGCAGGCTGCAGCCACCAGTCCAGTAGAACCTGACCAGGGGCACAGGCCACAGTCCTTGGGTCTGTCTCCAGCCAGTTGGCGCTCAGGGAGATTTTCCTTCATAATATGCTGCGAATGACAATCTTTCTGAGATGTACTAGGGGCAGTGGATTTGATCTGCTTGGGGCACTGTAGCAGCTCCAAGGACTGTGTCCTTAACCGCAAGAGTGGCGGCTGAGGGTTTCAGTCTTGGCGCTCCTTCTGGGTTCAGCGGGATGCCTGACTGTCCATGAGTTTCTGGGCTGCTCATGATGGGTTCCTGGGGTCTTGCTACAGCCCTGAGCCACAGGAGCAGCAGCGGAGGTTTTTAAGTCTTGGCACAGCTTCTGGGCCCAGCATGGGTGCCTGGGTGCAAGTTTCTGGGGCTGCCCAGCCACCTAAAGCGGTCGTTCATGGAGGAAATCTGGGGTGCCAAAGAAGTTTGGGGCCAGGTTGGACTTTAAAAGGGACTTTTGGAAGAAATGACACTTTGGAATTCTGCAGTTTCTATGCCTTTCCCCGCCAGTTCAGAGTTCCCGAAGCCACCCCGCTCTGCCCGCCAGCACCTGAGTGGTGCTGCCGTCTGGGTCTCCAGCACGACTCAGGTTCTGGAGCCTCCATTTCTAAGTCACTTGTAGAATGGGTTAGAGTCCCGTGATGCATCGTGATGCCTGGCTCCATTGGGATAACTTAATTTCTGTCCTCCCTTCTGAGCCTTAGCTGTGTCACTGAGTGATAATGAACTCAGGCATAACAGGCCCCTTACGGGCTGTACTGTTTCTCTGGACCCTTTGTTAAATGTATTTGTTTGTTTGGGGGGCATGCCTGGTGATGCTCAGGGGTTATTTCTGGCTCTCTGCTCAGAAATCTCTCCTGGGGGCTGCTCAGGGTACCATATGAGATGCTGGGGATTGAACCTTCGTGGGCTGTGAGCAAGGAAAATGCCCTTCCTGCTGTACTCATGCTCTGGTACCCACTTTATTAAATTTTTGTTCCATCATTCTATGTGTCTTTTGCATGAGAAAGCAAAATGTGTTTGAAAAAAGAATTTTTTTTGAGGGCCAAACTCTATTGTGCTCAGGGATTATTCCTGGCTCTGCCTGTAGGGATCACTCTTG